CCATAAATAATTAAAGTTTTTGTTTTCCGAAATCAGATCTTTTAATTCATGCATTGTCCAATAATTTCCTGTAAGCTTGACATGTGTGCTAAATTTCAAATTATTGAATCGTCCAATTGCCGTTTCGGATGGTACCATTACTGGGTTTCTCGGCTTTTTGCCGATTTCATCGAAGTACAAAGGGGAATGATTATATAATGAAACGCATAGTACCGAAAGCTTGTATTTTCCTTTTCTTATCCTTTATATATCCTAGTTTCTTCACAAATAATCGTTATAAACTGTTAATTTCGAAACGTGCATTTTTGCATATATTTATTATATACCTGCTTCTAATCTTTTATTAGTTTTTATATAATTTTGAAGACTGTCATGATGCAGAATAAGCAACAACAATCACCATCAGGCTATCGTCCTATTGTTCCAGCTACATCTACCCCAGTATACGTTCCTGTATCACCCTATCATTTGCCTCAAGCTACTTTGCCTCCTTTCGAAACACCTCCAGCCTCTCCTTTCTCTCAACCAATGCATAACTATAATGGGCAATCAGTTTTTAAACTTCCACCTCCTATGCAACCTTTATCACCTGCAGCCCTGCACGGCTGTCAACCGATGTTGCCATCTTCAAATTCCAATATTGTTCATCAACATAATGGTTCGTAAATACAGTCTTTCATTAGGGATCTGCAAGTTCAGCATGTGCCCGTGCCTTGCATAAGGCACGGACATGGGCTCAATGCAAAATATCTTGCTTAAAGTTGTCGGGCACTTTGTAGATGTGGGCACAAAGTTCCAGGCACATGTTTGGTACCTTGTGTCATAAGCATAAAGACCTGACTTAAATTGTTAAGCACTAGGGAACAAAGCGTTTGGCCAACAAAGGTGCTGGAACTTTACATGCTTGCCTACAAAAATGCCCGGAACTTTCGTGTCCATGGGTATAGGCAATCTCGTAAGCATTATGCCAGGCATGATGCCAATATGCTCGGCATGAGCCTTTGTAGATACCTACTTTTCATTTTCGAAATGATCATATTTTATCAATCAATCTAATTCAACAACTGTTTTCCAATATTTATAGCTCACCCTGCAAACATTGCTTTGGAAATATCACCAATTCATCGACCAACAATGCAACATCATACTTCAGTTATTCACACTCTTACTTCACCCCATCTTTCTCCTGATAAACCCCTTACCACTGCAGATCAACGTGAATTGGCTCGTAAAGTTTCTCATTCGGCTATCGAGAGGCGCCGTCGTGAACGTATTAATGATAAAATAATGCAATTAAAAGATTTAATTCCAAGTTGCGCAGACCAAGATCATTTAAATAAATTATGTATTTTGCAGAGTTCCATCGAATACATTGAGTATCTACAAGATCTGGTTATTACCTACCGACAACGAGAAAAGGATGGTGGCAAAACCGATGATAATAGATCATCAGAAGATGGTCGAGTCGTTAAACGGTCTAAATTTGACCGATATGATATTTTACCATCATCAAAATTATCTTCAAGATTCGAACCTCTTGATGATAACAAAGAATATAGACATAAAAAATCAGTTAGCTCTTCCACTTCCTCAGATCAAGCGATGAATACAGAGAAAGTTAACAGCGAAGATAATGACTCTACGATAAAGACTGCTGTATCAGATACACCAACGTCACCCGATTCTGAAGATGCTGGCGCTTTATTGTTGTCCTCTACTGCACAAAAATCCAAGGAAATAATAAAATCGGCCTCTACTGTGCAAGAATCCAAGA